CCTAGTAGTATTATTGTCTGTACTGGGAAAGAAATTAATTTATCTTAAAACCTGGCAATTTCTTTTTTCCTTCTGTTCCTCCTCCTCCCCCTTCCTCCCTCTTCTCTCCATCTCATCTTTCTTGACAGGGTCTCATCTACATACACTAACCCTAAATTATCTATGTAGCTAAGGATGGCAGTGAAGTCCATAGCTGTATATCCAGCCCCTGGCTCCTTGTCTTCCTTTCCTTCATGGCAATCTACCTTGCTGGCCTGTACCTCAGGACAATCTTCTTGCTTCTGATACCTGTGGAAATTACCAGTGTGCACCCCTCCACCTGGAAATAATGACTGTGTCATTATATATTGCACTTATGCATTCCTTCTTCCTTCTGTTTTGCGTTTACATTTTGTTATGTTGATTTTTGTGGGTTTTGTTGGTGGTGTTGAGACAGAGGTCTCCTTGTAGGCACACCTGGCCTGGAACTTGCTGTGTAATCTAGGCTGGCCCATATCTCATACAGATCTGCCTGTCTCTGAACTGAGTGCTTGAATTAAAGGTGTGTGCCACCATGCTTAGCATATTAACTTTTGAAACAGGGTCTCACATTGTGTAGCCTAGGTTAGCTTTGAAGTAATAAGCCTCCTGCCTCACCCCTAAATGCTGAGTTGTATTTTTTTGAAAGCAGAGATTGGAGTTGGGACAATGAAATACCAAACTATTTTCCCACATAGGGAAAGATTCCTAAAGTAGTTTATGATTCCAATGTAGCTTCTAGTATACAGGATTCAACAGAAATTAATATGGTAATTGCTAGACAGAATGAGTTTAGTTATTTATGTGTGTATCTGCCATCCTTTGGCCTTCACAGGTGGCAAGAGCTGCAGGGCAGGGAGGCATCTGAACCCTGCCCTGACTTGACCAGGCAAGCAAGGCGCATTTGCTCTGGAGCTGGGATGGATGGGGAGAGCTTTGTATGTCCTTGCTGAGAGCCATTGGCTAGGCTGCTGTCATTGGAGCCTGAGGCTTACACCCATGTGCTTAGCAGGGTTGATACTGATGTAATCTGTGAGCAATGGAACACGGAAAGGCACTGACCAGGCAGAGTTCTGTTAGGGTGTTGCTAGGTGACAGTTAACAGTGGGTAGTTGCTGAACCACAGACCATCCCTTGTAGGATACTCCTGTGGCGCAGTGCTGAATTTGGGGTTTTCATTGAAAGTTCTAGAGTTTAGAGGCAGGAAACAGCAGAGGAAGAGGGCAGGTAGGGCGGGGAAGGTGGAGAGGGCCTGGGCGGCCCTGGCTTGGGTGGCCCTGGCCTAGCCCTTGCCATGCAGGACGTCAACTACGACGCCTATATTCGCAGTGGCTACTACGGGTATATTCGCAGTGGCATCCCCCGTACCAGGTGGTATACCCACTTGGATGGGGCCTTCAGGGCCTATGGATATTTGAATAATGACAGGCCAGAGTTTCCCATACCCCCATCGGCTATATTCCTGTGGGACATGTCCACAGGGCCAGAAGTGTAGGTGCTGGAACTACAGTGAAGCATGTGGATCTACCAGATGAGCCTGACAGGTAATAGGGCCCTGGAGAGGCGAAGGATAAGAAAAGGGGGCTCAGTTGGGGACAGACAAGGGCCACATGGGAGGAATTCCACTTTTCCAGATGTGGGTCCTGAGGGAGGGTCGAGGAGAATGGGGGTCTGCTTTCCCAACGGTGCTGGATTTTCTTCCCGCCTCAGATTCTAGGTTATCGGAACTCTCACATCCTGGAGGAGAGTCTGCATTAAAGCCTTTATGAGAAGCAAAACAAAAACAAAGCTCGCCGGTTTCCAATTCATTTATGTTACCTCTTTTAGAGCGCTTTAATACCCACATGGCAGCATTTGAAATAAAGAGCGTTAAAGGCAGGCACAGTGGCACGTGCCCGCAGTTTGAGCTATTTGAAAGCTGATTGAGGAGGATTTCAAGATCTAGTCCAGCCTGGGTAATATAGTTGAGGCTTTCTTAGTTCAAGAAATCTGAAACTCATTTGAATACAAAAATGTTTCATCTGCAATGTAGGTATAATTCTGTTATTTCACGCAATTGAAATACTATGTTGTCAGTAGGAATAGTGATTCTACCGTATTCTGAGCTAACTCTTAGGTGCTAGGCTCAGTTCTGCATACGTTGTGGAGAATCTCATTGAAGCATGAGAGTTGCATTCTGAAAGATGGCTACTATTTTTAACCCGCATTGTCACTGAGCTCCTAGGTGCCTGAGAAGTAGGTAGTAGGTAACAGAGATTAGAGAGGTAACAGAGATTACAGTAGAATTGAAATTTTATTTTCAATTGCTCCTTTTATTCAGACATGCTGGTCTAGCATGGAGGCAACTCACTGGTAGTGCACTTGCCTTGAATGGGGAAGGCCATGCACTGTATCATTACTACTTTGAATAAATACAAAAGTAGAGAAATAAGGAAATTCCAAAGGCTTCCCTTTCTTCAGAACTCATTACCTGCTATCTAATACTTAGAATTTTCTGGATGAAGGTTCTTTGACCTAGTTTTCCAAGTTCCTAAAACCCCCTCTCCTTTCCACAGGACTGCCTTGCATTACGCCTCTACCCACAACCATCCTGGTGTGGTGTGTCTCCTCGTGAAGAAACACTGCAAAATAAATGCCCAGGATGATGAGTTGAGCACACCCCTGATTAAGGTAGATAATGGCCCACAGTTTCAGTTGAGATGGACTAGAATTAAAATATTAGAATATTTAGGTGTGTTCTGCTAGTTAATGCATTCTAGATATGATAGGGAATTTACACCAATGAGGTTTCCCATGTATTGTAGTCTAATCAGGTCTGCATGAGGACAAAACCAGTTGCTGTGCCAAGGTGGGGGAAGGTTCATGGAATACTACCTCCAAATATGAATTGTAGGCACTCAATGGATGCTGAAGAAGGAAGAATCATTTTTTCTAGGGACTAAGTCCATGATAAGTTAGTTATCTGATCCCAAGTGGGTAAGCCTAAACACAGATACACAAAATCACCTCCCCTACATGGTCTCAGTATGTGTATACATATACACATATACGTATGTATATGATGTATATGTAACAAAGAAGAGGAGAAGAAATTGAGAGGATGGGGCTGATACAGGAGAAGTTGGAGAGGGATTCGAGGAGTGATAATAATGCAAATACACTGTTCCTGTATGAAATTTTCAAAAATGAAATATTTGAAAATACTATGCAGGTGTGCTGACGCACACCTGTAATCCTATCGTGGGAGCGGGAGGCAGGAAGATTTTGAATTGAGGCAAGGCTGAGCTTACCTAAGCAGATCCCTGTCTCAAAAGAAGGGGTAAATATACTTAGGATAAAATTTTATTTCACTTAAGGGTAATTATTCAGTGACATATTTGGACATTTAATCTTGGATTCCTTGAATTGCTAGTTTATTTCTGTGTACAATAATCACAGGCTGTACAGCAGGACCATGAAGAATGCGCGTCGATTTTACTTAACCTTGGCGCTGATCCACACGCCATGAATGTGTGTGGAAAAAATGCACTCCACTATGCCGTGCTTGGGGGGAACATCTGAATGGCTGAAAAACTGCTGGCCTGCGGTGCTGATATTGAAGCCAGAACAAAGGTAAAGATGACTTAACTTCATTACCCAGATACTTGTAACAATGGTGCATAGTTCTATTTTCCACATGTAGAAGGTCAAGCTTTGTGTGGTTAAAAATGTTTTGAAATGGGTAATCACCAAAGGAATAAAATTCTGATACTTTGTATGTGTTCTATATCTGTGTATACATGATCACATATTTGTGCCTGCATGCGTGCCTGTATGTACACAGAGAGTCATAGGGCAGAAGTCAAGATCAGTGTTAGCCGAAACTGTTTTTCACTCTTATCACGTTACATTTCTATTTGTCTATTATTATAGGGTGTGTGTGCATGATGCTTTTGTGGAGGAACTTGCAGCTCACCAATTAGGCTAGAGTAGCTGGCCAGGGATCTTCCTAGCTCTGCATCACAGTGCTGGGGTTATAAGCCACCGTCCCTGCTTATAACCTGCTTATAATTATTACCCATGAGTTCTGGGTAATAATTCAAGACCCCCTATTTGAAGGTAATTAGTATAAAGTAGAAAAGCAAAACAAAATCTGTCTCAGAATGGGGTTTGATTTTAAATATAAATTAGAGGATTTGGACCCACATGCTCACATATCATGCGCATACGCCCATGTACAAACAATAAAAGTTAATTAAAAAATAAAAACTTTGTTAATAAATGGAAATCTTGTTGCTCTTGAGAGTTACATGGAAGCGGGTTATGTCTCAGAGATGTGACCGAAACAGGGAACATGAGAAAGGGATTGTGGTCACAGGTGTGCAAGTAAATTTGCAGACTTGGTTATTGAAAGGCTATGCTAGGAAGACATGGTTTACTTCACTTTTTGCAACTTTTATGTACACACAGAAATGCTGTTTAGTTTGGGAGACAGCAATTCTTCTTAGTTTGGGAAAGAATATTGTTGAGTTGTAAATGTGCCTTGAGGTCATTTTAGGAGGACTCTGAGGCCAACAGCCTGGCGGTGACTAAGTGGTAATTGTGGGGAAAATGAAAGGGAAGGCTAGTGCATTCACTGCCGTAGTGTCCTTTTCTTGCAGAAAGAGTCTCTCAAGCACCTCAGTTTTATATTTTTGTTGAATGGTATATATTTGTTTTTATTGATAGACTGTATATTTAGTTCTGGCTTACAGTTTTTATAGAATGAAAAATAATGTTAGTTGCTAAAATGGGAGCTGAATGAGAATGAATACAAAGTAGCAGATTTGCCATACTGTCAATAGATTATCATTATAAGTGAGAATAAAACCTTGTACTGAGGTTTCAACTGCTGAGATGTAAATTTGTGTCTTGAAATAATAAGCAATTAGGGCTGGAGGGCTGGCTCAACAGTTACAAGCACTGGGAACTCTTGCAGAAAACCCAAGTTGGAATCCCAGCACCCACATGGCAGCTAACAACCATCCATAACTCCAATTCCAGGGGGTCCAAGACCCTCTTCTGTCCTCTGTGGGGCATTGCATGACACCGGTCCACTTACATAAATGCCAGCATAATACTCACAAAACAAAAATAAATAAATAAAAATAATAAACAATCAAGCTTCTTTTGAAGACTCTCTTTTAATTAGGAACCCATTTCTTTAGGGGCCCATTTGGAGCAGGGGCACCTGACAGGGGGATCTGGTTCCTGACACAATAAACAGAAGAGAACAAAGTGAAGTCCATCCCCAATTGGGTGAAACAGTCACATTTCTGGAAATCTGTAAATATGTCCCTGAAACTCATCTTTAAATGTGAATGTTTTGCATAAGAAACAAGTGTTTTTGAATTAAGGATCAAGTGAAAGAGATTTCTTTAATACTGGATGTGTAATTATTGGTTCAGTTATGATCTCTTTCCATTTGTAAAGCACTTCTGGAAATACAGATTGAGAAACTCTGCTCCAGAAGTGATGGTTGTAGATCATTCATTCAACAGAAAAGAGCGGCTACTTCTGATGTGCTCTTCACAGCTTACATGTATGTTCATAGATTCCGTGTTAAGATTTTTAGTTCAGTCGAGAAATACATGATTTTGAAAATATGAAATATTTTTCTTTACAGCGTGGATTCACACCATATTTGCTCTGTCTTCTCGAAAAGAAAGAGGAGATGGCAGAATTCTTGAAAGCAAAGGGTGCAGATGTGCATGCTGAGGTTGAATGGAAAAGGTACAGTTCCTCCTTCATAATCTTAGTGCTGTTCTTGAGTAGTAACAATCACTTAACTCAGGAATTCTAAACCGATAGGAGAAAGATTCACCTACACTCACAGGAACAGTGAGAAACAGCAACACCAATGAAGGGTCGAGTAGGAAAAGGGCTGTTCAGACTGCAACAGGAACAACAGTCTAAGCAGGTTCAGGGTCTCTCTTACCATGTACTGGCTTTCTTATTTTGTGTCTAATTGTTTTTGGTCAAATGGCTTTCTAGTAGCTAAGGGAGTGTCATATTAGCATTGTTTATATTTAGAATGGGATTAAACTTCTATGCGTAGTAGTGTTTTGCCTGCATGGCTCAGGTGTATCCATTTTGTGCAATACCAGTGAAAGCCAGAAGAGAGGGTTGGACTCCCTGGAACTGATTTATGGATGGTTATCAGCCACCATGTGAGTGCTGGGAACCTATCTTGAATCCTTTGCAAGAGAAATTAGTGTTCTCACCTACTGAGCCACCTGTCTCGCCCCAGCATTGTTTGATATTGGCTGCCTATAATAGTTCTGGGGTTAAGGCTGGGGCTTCCTGCCCATTTTCCAAGTTCTATACTGGGTTTTTGCACTGATCACTGCGGGATGAGGGTGAACAGATATTTTTTTTACCTTTTTGAAGCAGGGTCTCCCTGTAGCCCCAGGCTGTCCTGGAACTTGCTATGTAGACCAGGCTGGCCTTGAACTCACAGAGATACGCCTACCTCTGCCTCCTGAGTGCTGGGATTAAATGCGTGCACCACTACGCCCAGCTGTTTTTATCTTTTAATGTGTATTTTTATTGAATTTTTGTGCATTTCATATAAAATATCTTAATCGTCTTTATGCCCCTCCCCATACACATACTCCCATATCCCCCCACCCTCACCAGATTTCATGCATTCTGTAATATATGTTAAGGAAGGCCTATCAAGTCAATTTTGTATATCCAGAAGTCCCTTCGTGCAAGTTCATCCACTGGGGTCTAGTCATTCTTTCTGAAGCCTTTCCCTTAAGATCAGCTATCCTTCACCCAGCCATAATTAGCTGCCAATAGTTCCTTGGCTAAGTTTGGGGCCTGCTGGCCATTTCCCCAGTTCTCCACGGGGATTTTGTCTAGTTAAGTTTGCGCATGCTGACCCCGTTGCTGTAAGTCCATATGAGTATGTACCCAGAGGCTTGGAAGACTCTGTTTGCTTATGATCATGGACCAACCCTGACTCTTACAGTACTCACAAAGCCACGTACAAACACACATCAAAAAGGTCATCCACTGTGATCAAATCGGCTTTTTTCCATCATTGTTTATTTTTAAAAGTATGCACTCAGTTTAATTTTTTATTCACAAGTAAATTCATAATGATTTCTTGGGAGTTCCATTCTGTTTCTTATATATTTTCTTTTCTTTCAAACGCTACATTCAGCAGAAATATGTTTTCCAAAATGTCTCGTGTTCCCTTCTGTTTTAATTTTTTTTTGAATTGCTTTTGCAGAATACTAAGGTGAGGTTATGCATAATGAACAATTAAATGCTGTTACCAGATCCTTTGATTTCTTTTTCTTGTCCTCTCTAATTTGTTTTGATGCTGTGTTCCTCAGCTATTCATCTTTGTGCCCTAACACGTGAAACAGCTGAGGAGATGACAGATTGATTTGGGCTTATGGTTTCAAACAAAGGTGGTCTGAATTGTTTGCCTTAGTCTGGGGCAAGACAGGGTATCATGGTAGAGGGCCCCTGTGGTGGGGAGAGGGGATTCAGTTCCTGGAAGCAAGCAAGCAGAAGACAGAGGAAGGTTGTGAAGACAGCATCCGCCCTTCACAGGTATACTCTAAGAAACCTGCTTCCTCTAACTAGGCCCCACCCCCTAATAGACTCTCCTGCTATGAGCTCCTCTATGTCTTTTCTAAAAATATTTTATTTATTATTTTTATTTTATATGTATGTATGTATTACCTGCAGGTATGTAAGTGCACCCATGTCATGCAGTGCCCACAGAGGTCAGAGGAGGGTGTGGGATTCCCTGGAACTGGAGTTACAGATGGTGGTTTGCCACGGTGTGGGTGCTGCAAATCAAACCTGGGTTGTCTGCAAGAGCAGCCAGTGCTCTTAACCACCTAGCCATCTGTCCAGCGTCTATCTCCTCTGTCTTGATCCACTGATGAAAATAATAACTGTCATGGTCCAATCACCTGTCAATGGTGCTGCAATTTGGTGGCCACTTCATGTTAAAACCATTAGCAGATGTCTGTATGCTTAGTTGGTGTGAATAGAAAGAAGAAAAATAGCATTAACTGGATAAATGTTACCTTGGTGAAGATAAATTATAGCTAGGTGACAAACAGGAGGTTTTAGATTCACACAAGCCTGGGTTTAATTCCTTGCTTTCTGCATGCTGTATTATGAATGGGAACATTGCTGATAAATAGAAATATCTCCTGCTATAAAAAGAAGATAATATTCGTTATTTAATGTGGTACTGGAACTTGAAACCAGTGCCACAAGCATGTTAGGCAAGCACTGTACCGCTGAGTTACATCCCCAGCCCAGTAAGATAACATTCTTTTATAAAACTGTTTGTATTATGTGTGTGGGGGGAGGAGTCATGAGCAAGTACCCCTGGATACAGAAGATGTCAGACCCGCCCCGCCCCCGAAACTGGATTTCCAGATGTCTGTGAGCAGCCTCATGTGGGTCCTAGGATCAACTCCAGTTCTCTGTGAGAGCATTATGTACTCTGGATAACATTCTAGAAAGGCAGTTGTAATATTGTTTATACTACGCCTAGCATAAGGAGATCATCAACAAGTGTAAATGCTGCAAACATATTTTGTACTAATCTGTTTATAATATCAATGTTGTCATTTTAATGATGTAAATAACATTTTTTATTTAGAGCACTGGATGTTCTTGTAGAAGACTCAGGTTCAGTTCCTGGAACCTACATGGCAGCTTACAACTGTGTGGGTGTGGTGGAACATGCTTTTAGTCCCAACACTTGGGAGGCAGGGGTTGGTGGATCTCTGACAACTAGGCCAGCCTGGTCTACATAGCCCTTTCTAGGGCAGCTGAGGCTACAGGGAGACCCTGTCTCAAAATGCCAAAAAGTCGTTTGTAGATTTCCAATGTAAGTTATATTAGGGAATCAAACCAAAAAATGCAAATCATTTGGTAAATGTTTTTATGTAAATATTAAAATAATTATCACTTTTTAAATGTTTCACAGTGAGACAACAGGTTTAAAGTCGATCCTTAAGTCTGCACAGATTGGCACAGGTAAGATTCATAATATTTTGCTCTAGTTGGTCCTGCTCCAAGTAAAAAGTTCACTTAGAAAGAAGTGAAGAAAATTAAGTATAAATGCTGCTATACTGTTCAGTTTTCTAATATCCTAGAAATTCGGGGTTATTTATTAAGTTAATTCTAAGATATTTCTAATACGGAACCATAGTGTCAGAAAATTTCTACTTGATTTTGGTCACAGATGTATGAAATGGTTGTTGTTATTACTATTATTTGTCTTTTTGAGACAGGGTCTCCCTGTAGCCTCAGATGGCCTAGAACTCTCTATGTAGACCACGGTGGCCTCGATCTCAGAGAGTCCTCTGCACGGCTGGAGATCTCAGAGAGTCCATGCCCTGCTATATATGAAATATTATTATATGAAAACGAAAAATTTGCTTTTGAATTTCAAGAACAATTTCATTAGAGTTTAAAAGAGTTTATCTCAAGTCAGGTAAAGTATAAACCTCAGCAGATGCTCATATTAGAGTGGATAAAAAAAGTACTCATACTGTTTAAGGTGGAATGGAGATCACGCCCATGATGGACGAAAAGTCCCATGACACAGAGAAAGAAAAGATTTTTAGTATAGTACTTTTTATGTCCTGGATAGGTACATTATAGCAAATTGGACTTGTTATAAAATAAATTTTTCTTTGTTTTTGTAACATATACATTGTAGTTTGTACTCGAATGCTTGCATGGTTTAACATCAACATAATGTGATTCTGTCACAAAATAATATATAATATTCAAAGACAATGCATTCCTATTATGAATTATTTTTTCCTATTAATACTACTAAATCATGTGGTTATTTTGCTTCCTATAATTTCTCAATATAGACAGTTTTCATGTATTCTATTACTGCTCTCTTTAACCACCACCCATTTTAAGGTGACTATTATAACAAACTCACTGCAACCTTTAAAGCATGATCCTTATATTTTCTACTTTTATTTCAGATTTCAGTACTAAGTTTTGTACACCGGGCTTTGTGAGCATTATAGGCAATTGCTCTAGGCCTCTAGCCATGTGTTTACTTTTATTTACGTTAATTAGCATAGGATACATTGACACGTGGTGGTTGGTTACATGCTAAAATCCCTGATTTCTCGAGCCATTTATCAGATGAGGAAGCAGGTTGAGAAAATGACATCATCCCGTGGCACGCAGTACTAGCAGCACCATCCTGGTCCATGGAGTCTGAATGGGCTCTTTAACAATGGAAGCACCACTGTCAAGAGTTTGCGCTTTAAGTAGCTGTCACCTTAGCAACTTTCATACATATTTTGCCATTGGAAACCACACTAGAGAATAAATACCATAGATCAACCCAAATGACTGTCTTCCTATAAGAGATGAGATGAAAAGAGTCAATATCAGTGAAAGGAGTAACGTTCTTTTGTATCATTTCATTATTAATATTATTGGACTTTTATTTGTGGTGATAGGGAGTAACTGAGGGCGTCCCATGTTAGGCAGGTGCTCTCCCACTGCTTAAAATATTTTATTATTTTTATTTTATGTGTATGAGTGTACTGCCTGCATGTGTGTAAGTGCATCCGTGTTGTGCAGTGTCCACAGACGTCAGAAGACGGCATTGGATTCCCCCAGAACTGAAATAACAGACAGTTGTTAGCTGCCATATGGGTTCTGGAAATTGAACCCAGGTCCTCTGCAAGATCAGCCAGTGCTCTTAACCTCTGAAGCATCTCTCCAGCCCACCCCACCCCCAGCCCATTTCTTGTGGGAGAAATGCCCTACCCTCATCATGGAACATCAGTGTCATCACACTGGGTTTTCACATACTTTCAATAAGGTAAAGAGAATTGTCTTTATCCCATTTTAGAGAGCAAATTATTGACATTAGGGATAGTTTGACTGAATGGTTGATGTCTGTAAACATATAGAAATACCTTTCATGACAGAGTCGCCCCAGGGAACTTGCTGCTCCGTCCCCAGTGCTGTTTGGTGATCTTTCCTCTAGTTCTTTCCATGGAAGGCAGTAGAAGCAGATTTGAGCTTCCTTTGCTCTAGACTGAAGATAGCATAAAGAACTAGAATCAAGGTTCTTATTATCCTGTTCCCCTGAAGTGGATTAGGGGGATAAACACATTGACTATCTCAACTTAATACTTAAGTAAAATTTTTACGTATTATCCAAATAATTATGTCCTCTTAAAATTCCCCTAGCACTATTAGTCTAGAAAATGTATGCTGTGTGTTTGCAACTGTCAGTTTATGATGCCGTTTTCTGTCAGTCTGAGTGTTCACGTAGGATCAGAGTCACAGGCCATGGCTGTTTATTGTTAGGTAGTAACTTTTGATCCGGTTTTCTTCTCCTTACATTTGAATTACCAAACAAAGTACGGGTAAGTTTTCTCAATATAGTAATTATTAGTTGTTATCATTACATACTATATTTCAATATATTACTAGTCATTGTTTTATAAATGAACATTCACTATCGAATACTCCAGGGGCAATCTCAAATGAGAACACACAACAGGACATTAGTCTTGTCGTTTTAATATATTATAATATTCTATCGCTGTTCTAAAACATATTTTTCCTTTCTCTTTACAAGTAGATGACAGTTCACCAGAGAATGCTTCTCCTCAGTTAGATTTTATGTTTTTTTTTTAAAAATACGTTAAATAATTGAGGAATGCAAAAATAAGAAACTGAGACTTA